TAGTCTCCTTTATTTCTTTGATGGTAAAACATAAATTTAACACAATCAGAAGGATGGCTAATTCGGGGGGGGGGGGAATAAAGGGCAAGAATCCCGGGTTTTCTTTGTAACAATTAGCACTATCTTTCACAGTTAAACAATCTCTATACTACCATGAGGCCTTAAGTATAGAAAGACTTTTAAGTACCTTTCTTAATAGTTGCAAGAAAAAAATCCATTATCTGCTAGGCTAATCTGTTACAAAGTATGAAGACAGGAAATCATTTTACTGGTAGGGTGAGAATTTCAAGATACATAAACTATCTGGGTGATTCTATATAATTTTCCACTCCTACTCATCGTTTGCTTTTCCTTACTAAGTTCTTGCCTAATCCTGATTGGATGATGCATTATCTTCAATGTTTGTCACTTTATTATTAACAGTCTTGGAATGGAAACAGGTAAGACACTTAGAAGGCAACTCTAACAAAATACTTACTTAATCATAAGCTCTGAAGACAGCTCCTTCTCCTCTTCCCAAACAGTCATATCAACAATGTATTTTATAACTGAAGGGAAGATTTTCCTTGCATGTGCGATTACCTCTTCATTCAACTGGCATTCCAAATTCTACAAAAAAATTAAATGTACCATGTTAGACCCACAGTACAGTTAACCAGCAAGCATGAGCACTGTTGCAGACTCTTTCACTGCTAACTAGTGAAAGTTGTAGTAGCAATTGTTCAATACGCAATTGTTCATTCTCTCTCTTGACCTGTGGGATGGGGCTTGTACCAACTGATATCTGGTGACTGCCAGGACTAGTCCTGCAGTTTTCCTGGCCAAGTTTTTCAGAAGAGATTTGCCATTGCTTCCTTTCTAGGAGAAAGCAGCCAGCCTATGGTCACCCAGATGGCTATGTGACTAAGGACTAGAATTCACAATCTCTTGGTTTCTAACCACTACACCAGGGCTGTCAAACTCCCGGCCAGTGGGCCGGATTAGTAACGTGCTGGCCATGCCCACACCCAATTTAGTGAAGGGGGGAAAAGTCCCGATATGTCATGTGACGCCATGAGTTTGACACCCCTACACTACACCAAACTGGATTCAAAAGACACTAAAAAATTCCAACTGAAATCCAAAACAGCTGTTCACAATGTCTTAACTCTTAACTCTCCATGAAGCAGCTTTCCATGATCTATTTATCTTCCTTTAAAAGATATATAGATAGTCCCCTTTTATTGATAGCAACTAGGACCAGTGATGTGATTGTAAGATGCAATATCTGCAACCTACGACAGCCATTCTAGTAGGCCTGATTACCATTGTTAGGAGAATCCCATGTGGTCACAGCTTCAGCTTCCCAGTCACATATGAATGGATGTTAAATGAGAACAATCTGTATAAGAATAACTATCAGTCTCTCTGATTAAATTAATCTGGGATGGTAGTTTTTTTATTCAGAAGAGGATCACCTTAAGGAGAACTACTTAGGATATCATGGCTGTATTGGAATCATGGCATTCTTTCATTAGCTGGTCGAAGTTCAACATTATTTTCAATTAAGAGAGGAACAAGTGGGGATGACCTTATTGTCTTGTTAAAAAAAACGTGATAAACAGCTTCAGAGAGGCCACTTTTATAAAATTATAAACTCAGAAGAAGTCTGTGAAAATTTACCTATTAGAATGGAACACCAACATTGAGGGTTATGATACAAAAATGTTCCAAACATTTGTGAGCACACCCAAACAACTAGTACATAATTGGGGATTATTCTTTATACAGTAATATTTGTTTTTCAATTTATTACAAAGAAATACCTCTTCAGTATTATCTCTTCCTTCAGGCTCATGTTTTGTACACACTGGTCCAGTCTTCCATGCTTCTGTATCCCCACAGTCGCAAAATCCGCCTCCAGTGGAAGTATGCATCTAAAACAATTAAGAACAGAGAACACAATGGGAAGTTCAGAACCATTAATTCATTTGGAAGTAATGCAGAACAATGGCACAGCATATATCACAGCAATACCACATTGCATGAATAACAACTATACCCAAATTTGTCTGTGTTCTCCTCTTGTACTGGTTGTGTGAAAATGACCTAGAGCAGGGCTGTTAAATTCCTGGCCATGCCCATGCCCAGTTTAGCAAAGGGGGGGGGGGGAAGTCCTGATATGTCACATGACGCCACCGTAATGACGTGAGTTTGACACCCCTTACCTAGAGGAATGAGAGGATGAGATGCTACCTAGCAAACAAATAAGAGGGAAAGAGCCTGCTTAATCGTCAGAGAAAGACTTAGAAAAGGCCCATTCTAATGAATTAGACTATTAAAAGTGACTCTTACCACAACTATTAACTGCCCGATTCATTACAGTGGGTCTTTCCTAAATTTTGTCCTCTAACTGTTAAGCAACAGGAGGTTCCCCCCTCTGTTATATGATCTTTTTTATTGCCTCTAAATGGGCGTCCTGGATATTCTGTATGGAAATTTGAGATTTCTGAGATTATCCATTAGTTATGCAGCTGATAATTATAAATTAATTTTCTTGTTCTTTTTTCATCTAAAGAACCTGAAAGTAGGTTTATTAAATTAAACAGTCAGCTTTCGTATTCTGCCTAGTAATTTTTGGCTGTCTGAATTGATGTGGTCATTAAGTATTCTACCATTTAACATAAATTGATGTTCATGTTATTTATTTTCAATACTTAAAAACACAATCAAATTCTCATAAATGCTGATTTATCTTACTAGCACACTACATTAATAGATATCACGCCAAAGCACACATTTATTTACCTTGTAACGATGATTTACATGAATACTGTTCTGGAAGCAATCCATGCAAAGAACACAAGTTGGATCAATTGCACAATCCCTGCAATGAAAATAAGAAATTTATACTGAAGAGTAAGCTATTTTTAGTTATTTTTTAAAAAACCTACCAAACTTCCAAATTCTTGAAGTGTTAATTGAACAGATTGGAAGCATTCACATATAGGGAAGAATTGCTTATTATTAGTCGTGGGCAAAATGATTTGTGCAAAAAAACAATCTTGACATGAAATAGGTTCTGGGTGATCAGTGCCTAAACTGAATCATGCATGCTTCAGATGTTTTAATCCAAACATAGAACAAGGTATTTTCCAGGTATGAAATTAAATGGATTTTTTTCCTAAGTAGAAGTAACAGGAACATAGAAAAATGACAGCAGAAAAAGTCCTACTGGTTCATCAAGTACACCTTTGTTTGTTTTCTTTTTAATTAATTTATTATTTTTACTTTTGTCCAATGATGGACATGTGTTTAAACTCTGTTACTAATAACTGATCCACTGTCTCTGTTAGAAATTGGTTCCAATCTCCTACTACTGTTTCTGAACAGTAATACTTTCTAACATTAGTAATACTTTCTAATATTACTTTTGAACTCCACATACACACACCAGTCAGTTTGAGGTTATGTTCACGAGTTCTTAATTTTTGCTTAATATTGACATACTGTCTTCTAGAACTCTATTTTTACCTTTAAAGGGTTCATATTTAAAAGTTTCAATCATGTCCTATATAGGAGGATTAGAGCCTCCTTTTTCCAGCTGGTGATTCCTCAAGCGATGCACCCCAGAATTTTGTTTGCCTTCACAGCTACCCGGCCATACTGTTTACTGTTTTGCAGTTATCGGCTATAAGTACATCTAAATCCTTTTCTTCTGTTGTTCTAACATTATATGGCCAATACTGTACCCTGCTAGAGGATTATTTTCCCTTAAATGCACACTTACATTTATGCATTACATAATACATTGTTGGTGAGGCGATTGAGTGTGAAAACCTAAGGCTGATAGGTTTCCTTAGTGATGTGTCTATAGACATTGGGAGAACCGGAAACAGTGGCTGGAGGAGGAAAGGGATGGCTGAAAGAAAATTAGGATGTGGATAAACTGATAGATATATCACATAAGAATATTGGTGGTTGAGAAGAGGAAGAGAAAGTGCCGGAAATATCAAAGAGCACATTGGTCAGTAGGATATGGTAGGACATCAAAAGTGGCTGTGGAGGGGAGGGAGAGAAGGGAAAGCACAAAGAATATTGTGGAGTTCTCAACCTGGTGTACAGGCCATGTCAAAGAGTGGAGAGAAAGGGAGCCCTGAATCAGCCTTATTCTACTCATCTCCTAAAATCACTCTGGTTCCTTCCATATTTTGTTTCAAACAAAATTTCAAACAACCAAAATGAGCCATCTTTTCAAGTGACGAGCTGCAATTGCAATCAACTCAAAATGACTCAATAGAACTTCCAGAACATGATGTTTGTTGTGGATTGGTACCAAAACTTACTTTTCTTACATAACACTTTACTACCCACCCACGAACATAAGTGCATTTTAGAAAGACGTATAACACCAAAGCTATATTGACAACTGTATATAACATCAGATCATTCAAAGAAACATTAAAAGGTAGGAGTATTGGTATAGACCTGCAGGAATATGTTGTCTCTCCACCTTTAAATACTTTTCCACACAGCTGCGAGGTACCAATCTGTCTTAGCTTTTCTAGACAGGTATCTGGATCTTCTCCAAATAAATGCCACTCCAAAGGATAAAGAATCATTTTTTGGGCCATTTCCTCCTCTTTCTGTGATAGAGGGTCCATTTCATCACAATATATGCTTGGAACCACTTTTGCCAAATGTTGAAGAAAGGCAGCATGAAAATCAAGCTTCTCATCCCACCACTGCAAAAAACAGAATACAATGTTACTTCCTCAGTATCAGTATTTCACATATCAAAAATTATGATATACAATATGTGCAAAAAGCATGTTTTGTGGTTATAAATATTTGGAACTTTTGAGGCAAAAATGAAGGAAATATGTCATTAAACATACATGTATTAAATAAAGCAATATTTACTGTGAAGCAGAGTTAAGTTTAACCTTTTCAATTTAGACATTTATATGACAGTGCTGTTCATTAACCAAAATATCAACACTATTTTGATTGTTGTGGAATAACAACATAAAATCCTAGAATCTAATCATCTGAAACAGTAATAGAGTAGTTGGCACAATTACTTAACTACAGCATTTACAGGAAAAAAAATAGTATTTTGTCTTTAATATATTGTGAGTCACTTTCTTAGAAAAGGCTGTTATTCCTGCAAATTTAGTTCAATTTCAGATTACTTTTAATAGAAAGAAGGCTCACATTTGATTAAATAAATACAGTCTGTCACACAGAAAAAAAATCAATTGCCATCTGGTATTTTCAAGTTGTAATTAACAGAATACATGGAGGTTTAGGGTTTCATGTTAAGCTGATAATTTAACATTAGGCAGAAGAACTGAGCTCTGATGTAATCTGATCTCCACCTCCACCACCCTCGCTCATTTCATTTGTCAAGATCCAAGACACGTTCTTGGATAACTGCAGAAAATTTTGGATTTCTTAGTTCTTACCAATAAATTGTTTTGGTAGCATGAATAAGCAATTGGGTTACAGTCCTATGCATTGAACTTATAAACAATGATATATTAATGAAATATTTGCAATATTACTCTGGCTACAATATTTCTCTGTTGTATTTATTTTGATGGATGGATGGATGGATGGATGGATGGACGGACGGACGGACGGACAGACAGACAGACAGGACAAGAAGCAATGGATAGAAACTAATCAAGGAGAGAACCAACCTAGAACATAAGTTATTTACAGTGGCAAACAAGGAACCAGGAAGGCCTTGTTTTCATTGATCGAATGCAACACAATAGAGATTTCTGGATAATTTCCTTGATAGCTACTTTTAAGAAAAGCTGCACAAAAAGGACTTAGTTAAGAGTTGCTTATTAATTGCCAATTTGCCTTGACCAATGATAATTCAAGCACTTCTCCGGAAAGATAGAGTGATTGATAGAGAGAAAAGGAAAACATCCCACTCACTACACATGCAGAACAACTTTGTTTAGAAATTATGGAGTTTTTCACTGGTAAAACACCAGTCTCTGGGCCTGAGTAGATAGAGCAAGGAATAACTGTACTCCTAGTCTTGCATTCAAGGTGCCATTGCAGTTCTTGGGAGCTCCCATTAACACCATTGTTTTTCACTGCTTTGTTTTAAGGTGATAGGAACAGCTCTACATCTAAGTGGAGCATGCTGAGGGATGGGCTGCACAGCCTGAGTTCTCACAGCACTTTAGCATACATCCATAGGCACTGAGCCATTTCTTCTTCACTCAGCAGTGAAGATAATGGGAGCAGACAAAAGGGGAAAAGCAGGGCCAGCAGTACAGCTTGCCCATCTGTTTTTTCTCTCCAGAGGAGAAGCTGTTTCTTGTCAGTCTAAGCAAGGTTATTTAATGCCCGGTGAGACTGGCAAGCTTCTTTCCCACTTTCAACAGTTGCTTTACCTGTGTGAAGGAAATGTAAGCCACAGAAAAGGACCTGGAAGGCCACAGGCACCTTATGAGTTTGGGACCTCTGATCTATCTTCTAATATTTCTACACAGCGCTTTTTGCAGTCATTCTACTTTCACTCTCAATTCTTTTACTTTTTTCTAAGACCCACTTAGCTCTGCAAAAAAATTGGTCTGCGCCACATTCATATCCTCTCATCATATTTCTACATCATCATTTACTTGATTTGAGAGCCAAGGTGGCGCAGTGGTTAAATGCAGCACTGCAGGCTACTGCTAGATCAGCAGGTCAGCGGTTCAAATCTCACCGGCTCAGGGTT